AATTCCTTTAGTGATGGCCTGAAGAATCTGGACAACCTCAAGGGCACCTTTGCTAAGCTCAGTGAGCTGCACTGTGACCAGCTGCATGTGGATCCTGAGAACTTCAAGGTGAGTCTGGGATATGCTCCGTTTTTTTCTTTTCACTTTCTAGTCTTTCACTCTGATTCTTTTCCCTACCTGTTCTCCCCCCACCTTCCTTTTTACTTTAGTATATACCATCATTGAATGCTTTTCAAAATTTACATAATTTCATATGTTTTCTTTCAGTATTCCATATTGTTTCCTTTCTCACAACCTCTTTTTTTTCATCAAGCTCTTCACTTAATTACTTATCTTTTGCCCCTCTCTTCCCGCCCCCAACTTTTTCCTCCACTCGATACCCAAATTATGCACACTAGCTCTCATCTTCTCCTTCTGCACTTGGAAAAGTCTTTCTGTCTCTCCATATGGAGATTATAAGGGTTCCTCAAAGAGTTGTCACTCCAGAGACTACAAATCATCTCAAAATTATAGAATAATTGGGCATGTGATGTGATGAGCATAGGGTGTTATATGCAACTCATGAATCATTGAAAATTACATCAAAAACTAATGATGTATTATATGTTGGCTAACTGAATTCAAATTAAAAAAAGAAAAATTGCATTTTTATAGTCAAGACTCAATGGAAAGGAAAGGAAAGGAAAGGAAAAGAAATATCTGAGGATGCTAGACCAGAAGTAGTAGTTACTAAAAGACAGCCCAGCATCATACTAATGAATTAAGTATATATATATATATACATATAGATATAATAAAAATATACAGTATACATACATATATATTTACTCATTTATGCTGATGGAGATAACCTGAAGATCAGTTTGGGCTGGAGTGTGGGCAGAAAAAAATAAATGATTGCTGGCTCAGTTTCTCAGAAGCCCAGCTTGATTTCTGTCTTAATCATGTATACATATCTATCTCTGTCTTCCCCACAGCTCCTGGGCAACGTGCTGGTGTGTGTGCTGGCTCACCACTTTGGCAAAGAATTCACCCCTCAGGTTCAGGCTGCCTATCAGAAGGTGGTGGCTGGTGTGGCCAATGCCCTGGCTCACAAATACCATTGAGATCCTGGCCTGTTTCCTGCTGACCACTGGAAGACCCTGTTTCCCTAAATTCTATCTTCTGAACTGGGGGAAATAATGTCCACCATCAAGGGTATGGTTTCTGCCTAATAAAGAACCTTCAGCTCAACTTCCTGATTCATTTCACTTATTTTATTTTTTTGTCTGGGGGTATGGTACATCCCTGAGGGTCTACAGATAGGAAGCTCTTGTGTCTTATTCAAAGAGGTCAAGGAAATGAGAAGAGGAAAGGGACCATACATATCACTAGTGGATGACACTTCTCCCTCCAAAGCATAGGCACGGTCAAGAAGGTTTTAAATATATAGAGAATACTGGCATTACAGGGGCTCTATGGAAGACATGCAACCTAAGACACAGCCCTCAGGCTAATGCTTTGACCTATTTCCTACAATTAGTGAAAAATACGGTGCTCAAATAGAGACATAATGAATGATCAAGACACTGTTGTGTTTCCTTTTTCCCCACACCCCTTGCCTGCAGTGTAGCCTACCATAGCATGCTCCTTCAAGTGGGCCTACCCTAAGGGATAACCTCCCTCTTTTACTTGCCCCAAACATGTCCATAAATAATTCCTTTGCCCACCCTCCCATTTCAGACAAACTGCATGCTTGCTTATCACTTGTGATGCCTTTGCACCCTGGCCTCAATGCACTTTCCAATATTGCCTAAGAAAATTTTTCCAAACCCTTCCCCTCTTCCTATTTTTCACATTTCTTCTTATCCCTCACACTCACACTCTATGCTGTATAAACATTTCTTCCTATTGTGTACTGTCACACATGATTACCGTGCCTTGTGACTTTCATTCATAGGCAAGAAGGGAATATTTATTAATTGAAGTGGTCGGTGACTGACTGAATGAATTAATGATTATTCCCTGTCATAGAACTGCTGGAACTAGAGGACAGTCTGAACCAGGGACCCCTGGAGAGAGGTGTTTTGGTGTCAACGCCCCAGGATAGGATGAGGAAAGGGAAACACTGATCAGACATTTGCTTTCTGTTCAGAGCCTGCTGGACATCTGGCCTTATGAACAAAATGCCTTGTATATTTGGAAAGGGGCCCAAACTGAAGCCAAGACTCTGCTCCTGGGATACACAGTTTCAAATTTAACTTGGGAAAAATTGCCCCTT